GAGCCACTGTAGTCTCTCGGACTACTTTAACGATGTCTTTCATAGCTTTTGGGCCGGTCAGTTTCGATCCCTTAAGAAGCCTATGGAGGAGTGATCCAGCTCTCAGATTTAATCAAAAATATCTTAATTTGTGTTCCGAAGATGAACGAAAGTCTTGGAACAACATGAGGGTGAGTAATTACTGACATAATTTTCATTTTTGGTTGAACTAACCCTTTAAGTTAGTGCGTGTTAGATGATAAAAGGTCATGTAAAAATAGAGGAAATCCTACTTCCTTTTTTGCGACCACTACTGCCACTGCAAACCACATCTTGATTGACATCTTGACATAGGTTAGCACCATAAAAATATCACATTCTTCACAGCTTAAGGTAAAAGCCTGTGAATACGGACTCTTCAGGCTTTTAGGCTACTATAATTTGTCACAACGACAATCCTAGTGTCTCTGAGCACCTCTGTAAGGTTAGCTGAGTTTGCCATGCGTTTCTGACTGCCACACATGCCCTTTTTTGGGCTTAAAAGAGTGTGTTCTTTTCCAAGGGCCCAGGAGCAAATCCATCTAATCTACTTCCCTTCATCTACATCCTCAGCAGTTCTGTTAAAAATAGATTTAGACTAATCTTGAGATAAAAATGTGTACAATTTGGTAATATTCTGGGTTCAATCAGTACTATGTGTCTGCTCCAAAAGGATAATTATGAAGACAATACAATATAGAGCAATATCCAGTGTGGACGATTATTGGACTAACTGGTTGAGATGATGTGTGATAAATGGTGACTTAAAAAAAACATCTTGTTATTTTATTGCTAGGGGTGTAACGATACACAAAATTGACGGTTTGGTTTTCCCACGGTTTTGACGTCTCGGTTCGGTTCGATGCGGTTCGGTTTAGAAAGCTAAAATTGCTTCTTTTTTTTCCTTTTCTTTTTTAAACAGTGGTTTAACGAAAAAATCGTCTTTGTCTTTAAATTAATTCAATTACAATTAAACGTTTCACAAGGATTAAAAAAAAATCTGTAAACTATATAGGGAGCCGCACATTACTATAACATTAAAGGTTGTAGCCTAGACTTTTAACCTAAATTCAGATGCTATTTATTTTTTAGATATAATAATCAACCCACAACACATTGTATGAAAACATGTAAACTGAACATAAGGCAGTTTTTGCATTAACTTGTGTTTTACTCTAATTTGTTATTGAAATATAATACTTTACACAGTTGTCATTTTCATGAAAGATATTTTAAACATACATTAAATAATCAAGATATCATTAACAGGTTAAGTAAAATATAATATATAGGCTAACATGGTGCATTTATTTAGTGCAAGAGTTCATTTATAGGAACCATTTATAGGAAGTTGTGGACACTGAATCACTTGCCTGTTGAGGTAAATATAATGCTAGTGACAAGCTATGCTGTTTTATTGACGTCTTTCCGCTGCTGAAACACTGATTGAGCGATTACACGAGTTATGATGCCTTTCAGTAAGTATACTGCATCTTTCAACATACCTTCAGGTGTCCATTCTGTAACTGAGGAAGAGATGATCGCGTTTACCCGCGCGCCGCGTTGCCGTTTGAAATGAGGAGCTTAGTAGGCCTACAGCGATCTGTCACGCCACATCAAAGAGCGCCAAAACGCCATTTATTGTTGAATTTCGTGATCAAATAGACAGAATTTGAAAGATTACACCTTGCTTATTATCGAAAGTAACAAAACACTGAGCTTGTTATTTGGTGTTAATGGTGGTTAGCTACAAAACTGAATTCGTTGTGTACTGTACACAAGACATGAGGTCCATTGAGCCGGGCTGGGCGCGGAGGGGCGTGTTCGGTACGCAATGAGAGTATCGCGATTCGAATCGTGTGTTCTGTATCGCGGTTTTTCGGTTCGGTTCGAATATCGTTACACCCCTATTTATTGCTTCCAATATTCAAAGTCAAACTGACATTTAATCCTACTATTAGGTTTAGGGCGGTAACACTTCTTATTGCAATCGGGCCCTCTGAAGCTGCCTTTCCTTTTGCACAAATATAATACATTGCTCAGTTTAAACCTTTTATCACTGCTTCAATAACGACAGGTGTGGGAGTCCTCATTAAATGCATCTTCCTCATGAATAATTTTAATAAGCTAATGTTAAAGTCATTTCGCCCCTAAAGGCAAAGCCTGTCACCAGCCTTCAACTGGTTACTTATCAAAACCGCCTTTACAGTTAAATCCTCAGCCCTTGCACGGTTGTAAATAGCTATGTTGCATTTCGCCCTCAAACATTTCATGTCACAGACTGAAAACATAACATTAAAGTCTTTCAGCCTGAAAGACTTTAATGTTATGTTTTCAGTCTCTGACATGGTAAATATTGATTTTGTTCGCTTCACATCTGAAGATGTATCAAGCATGTATGCATGAGGCAGGTATCGATGCAAGGCACATTCTAATGTATTTTTCATAAATTCTTATGAAAATTCTCTTTCCCAAAGAGCTTGCCGTTGTTGTGAGAGTACATTACTCAGGCTTAAACTAGAACGCTAAAACTCTAGAGGCAGATTGATTTCACAACCCTTTCAATGCTAAGGCCTCATTGATCTGGCTTTCCTGAGCGCCTGACAGGGAACCCTGATGACAAATCTAAAATTTCCTCCCCCTGTAATAAAGCGGATTGAGCTTTGTGTCAATTGCGACCAGCAACCTATCTTCCGGCCATGTCCATTTCTCAAAACGGGAAATGTCAGGAAATGAAAATTGTTTCAGCAAGAAGAGCAATCTATTAAACTGCTTATAAGCTACCTTCAAAAGGAAGGTGAAAAAATATGATTAAATGAACTCGCACGTCTTTCTGGCAAAGCGTGCAGCCACAGCCAATTCGTTCATTTTGGGGATTGAACTCACTGCAGATTCTGACAACATGACAACTGAGATAAAATCACACTTGTTAGAGGAAATCCTAGATTGCAAGATTTATTTGAGAGACACAGAAAGCTACCTTTCAGAGGTGATGCAGAGAAATGTGTTTGAGCTTACAAACTGTGTTCTAGGGCTGCCCCTGGCTAAAGACTAGTAGTCATTCATTCAAGCCATTGGTCAACTAATCGCACATTTACATTAATTTAATAACTTAAATATATACTGAGGGGTTGGGATACTAAACCATGAGCCTTTAATAGGCTATATATAGGCGCTATATAATAAAGCTTGCAGCAAAGCACAGGCAAAAGTAATGATTATGAATGTGTCTGAAAAAAATAGCAAGGAGACATTTTAATCATTTATTAATAAACTATCGTCAACTTTATCTTTGCAGTCGACACCGACTAAGAAAACACTAATGACTCACCATCTCCTCAGTATAGTGGACACTCAGTATAGAGGAAATGCAACTTTCATACAGATTATATAATCAGAGAGTATATGTTTTCGATTCGAATTCGAACATTTCAAGCTTTCTATAGATATCATGTGTGTGAGGCAAGTACCCTATATGCTGAATTGCGGTTCATTTTTGTGACAAGCTCCAGTTGACGGAGACTGAGATGGCAGAAAGCGCATCTTGTTTGTTTTCTTTATTTTAAAAAAGCACAACGTTTTGTTGTTGATGTGAGTTTACACAAATATAAGTACACAAATGATTGCATGGCGCCTCCATGTCGTGCAAGCACGCTAATCCTTTAGCTTCAACACTCCGCACAACCACTTGGATATGCATCAAATAATAGCGCACATTTATCTAGGTTAACTAGGACCCTATTAAATCCATTTATCTAGGCACAATTTTACAGGCAAAAAAAGATCTATTGTCTGTTGTCTATAGCCGGGGTTTTCGAAGTGGGGGCCGCCAGGGGGCGCTGCAGCAAGTTGGAAACGTAAAAAACAAAACGTAAAAGATTTATATTATTATGAGTATTGTTATGAAATAGCATTATAATAATTTGTCACATAGCCTATCTGAACATTATACTTTTAATGCTAATCTTTTAGAGATGCACCGATTGATCAGCTGGTGACCGAAATTCGCAGATTTTCACGTGATCGGGCATGACAAATGTCAAATGCACTCGGGCGCCGCATGATTAACATCGCGCAACATCAGCATCCCACGTGCACACGGAATGCACATGTAGGAAACCTCGTGAATTACGGCCGTTTCAGACCGCAAGCGTGAGCGGCGCGTGAGCGGCGCGTGAGCGGCGCGTGAGCGGCGCGTGAGCAGCGCTTTTCGGCGTGCATGTTAATCAATGAGTGCATTCACACCAGGTCAAACTCAATGAAAAATCGGAATCAGCCAAGAAAATTGTAATCGGTGCATTTCTATAATCTTTCTGATTGTCTGGTATCAAACACCATCACATAATCTGGTGTTCACCTAGATGTTTTATTTATTTATTTCTACATTTGCTGCAGTATTGTTGATGGGTTCAATAACACATCCCGCAAAAGGGGGGCCTTGGCCAGAACCTAGTGGTATTTGGGGGGCCTTGTCATGGAAAAGTTTGGGAACCCCTGGTCTATAGCATAGCGATGTATGAAGTCACTTTCAAACCAAGCAGCTTTCTATTGGTCATGCAGCAAAATTGCATCACCAACTTGAACATGAATGAACATCAGGATCAGGAACTGCATCAGGAATATTTTGCACTCACACAAAACTCCCACTCCCGCTGGATTTCACCAGTGAAATTTCACCAGGCAAAGGTAATGTGACTGCACCTTTAATAAATTAAGCCACGTTAAGCGTTTAAGAACTTTGCGCTGTTTTTAGTGATTGAAATACTGCGGCGGGTACTATATGTGGACAAAACTTGCAGTTTGTTCACATATCTTTATTTTCCTTCTTTAGAGAGGTTATCTAAATATTCATGGCTTGAAACATATGTAAAATGAACAGGCCTGAGCAGCAGTTCTATGGATGTTTAGCCCTACAGGTCTCACGTTACTGAAAACTATGAATCAGGACTGCAGAGACATAATTACAGGGCAGAGCTACTCACCAGTTGGAGCCAGGAGCCTTGGGGGCGGTGGAGGAGGGGGTGGAGGCGGTAACGGTGGGTAGGGCCTACACTGGCATGGCAACTGGCAGCTTCCTTCCAGCAGTGCCACTGTGGTTCGTGAGCATGACTTCTGGAGCTCCCCTCTTGCAAACTAGGGTGAAGAAAACAGCACAAATTAGATTAGTGTTTTTGTCACTTTCATCACCATGCCATGTATAGTGCAGCAAAAACTTGCATAGTAAAAAGAGATTTTTCGCAATAGTACTTAGAATTTACAATGAAGAGAACACCACAAGCACTCTCTTTTTTCTCTCTGCACACTGGCGAATGGGAGCTCCCTCCCACTAAAGTGGAGAATGAAGGGTGTGTGGAGGCTGAGGTCTCTCAAAGAGAGCACCCACCCACACCGCAGAGCCTCGGACCCCCAGAGGAGTGGGAGTATTGAGGGGTGAACCCTGACACTGCCTCCCCCTAATAGGCCATCCTGGAAACACTTTTGCTAGTCTTGTGAGCACTGTAGTCACAGGAGACAGTAGTAAAGGACCAAAAGCCAAGTCTTCAGAAAACAGTTCAATTTCAATTACTTTAACCAGTGCTGGAACTGAGAGGAGAGTAGAATAAAAAGTATTCTAGTATTAGATGTGAACTATTAGATGTGTAAAATCAAAATATTACAAGTGCATTCAAGTGAAATCTTCAAACACCATTCACCAAACCTTAGCATACTGATTGAACTGTCGTAGGTTAATGACTTAAAAATATATAAATCACGTACTTAAATGTAAATTTATATTATAATAACTATATATATATTTATAAATCTGATCAATCTCAGCGCAGTTAGATAATCCAAAACTGTGACCGTTATGCACGTGCATTTTCGCGACGGTTCGTTATTGTACTTCACTATGAATTATCATCAACGACTGAACTGCTAATTCCAACTTACCTGCAATAACGGAAGAAATACTGAGAGAAAACAGTGACTGAACAAAAGCGGCAAAAAACCCAAACTAAGCGGCAATGAATTTCGGATAAACATTCCTCTTCTGTCTCTTCACAGTCCACCTGGCGAGGACGCGACTCTGAGGCGCATAAAAGTCATTTATTATCCGCTTCTCAAGGCTTACCAACGATGTTTTCCCCGAGTTTGAGCAGATATGGTGTCTGAAACATGCTCGTCCAATTAGAGCGACAATAATTGGTGACATGGAAGGGTTTGAAGCGACATAGGAAGGACGCTAGCGCTGTTTCTGAGGAAAGTTGTTGATCCTCCGCGCGCTGCCGTGGCGCGTGCCGTATCCACACAAGAGTTGCGAAGCAAAGTTCTCTCCGCGCGCGATTCTATGTGAGTCGAGCGCTGAATCAGGATTCATTTATTGCCAGGCATGATGAAATGATGTCAGTACACGGCACAGAAGTTACGGACACTCAAAACAGCACGGAGAACACACGTTGACTCGGTGAATCGCACGGACGCCGGTGCTCAAATAGGACCCTAGACTGTGGATTCACCTCTTCTTTACTTCTATAGCACCAGCTGACGTGAAGGCGTCCAGTGAGAGACGCGCGCCAAGATAACGCACTATTGTTAATGTGATAGCCATTTACATTAGCGACGAAATCACACGTTTTCTTTCGCTTCTGGATTGAGCTAAAGAGATTTATTTAACGAGGACCCTTAGGGTTACGTTTGGTTAGGTCACGGCGTTCGACAGTGAGCGTATTCGGGGCGAGTTGAATGTACTCTGCAGAGTAGACAGACACAGAGCACATGAGGCAGTAAGGGAGAAAGCCGAGGGGGAGGGGGGCAGTTTGCCATCCACCGCTTTTTTGTTTAGGTGGCAGAATTTTAATTTTAGCTTGGCCTGCGTGGTAAATTAAACGACGTAGCTATTGTGATTGTGTGTGTGTCCATCCTATGTATTACCATCCAAATGGGATTTTATTAACAGCAGAAACAAAGTTCTAATTAAAGGACTTCAATAAATTAAAAATAAATAAATTGTAAATGGCAGTAAAAGTATTGGAGCAAAGTAGGTAAGTCACGAACAGGAAGTGCAGGTTTTAGTGGGCTATAAACACTTCTAGTTCAATTAGACTTGTGTCTGAATCATGATTTTTGGTTGATGGAACAAACGCATTGGTCCTTTCTAATTAGGCTACTGTATGATACAATCTAATTTACATAATGCATTGGTGCTAAAACTACCGTTTAGACCAGTGCAAAACATGTGTGCTTTGTGATATTACATAAGTTTATGTCTTTGAAGTATTAGGTCATGGAGGCAACACAGCATACTATTTGAACATTTAGATTAAACATTCTGTTCATATGAATATTTTCATTTATGTATATTTTCTGTTAATGTATAATGAAAATGGCAACCTTAAATGTAAATGTACAGAGGTATCGCATACACTCTGTTTAGTATGGCTTTACTGTTTTGTATCTGGATGTTAATCATTTTGCTTGCACAACATCAATAATACTTTCAATCTTTCCAATCTAATACAATCTTTCAAAAAAAAAAAATCAAAGATGTTTGTTTATATGTATATATACATATTTATATATAAGCTATACGTAACAGTATATTGTGTGTGTGTGTGTGTGTGTGTGTATATATATATATATATATGTATACTATGTATACTGTAAACAGTATTGTCTACCTGCCTATATGCCTATAAGGATTTAAATTGAATCAGAAAGAAAAAATGATTTATTTATATATATTTGTAGTTATTGACAAATTATTGGGAGGATATTTTTTGTTAATTAATTCATTCTCCCACCTCTTTCTCTACCAAACTGCAGTGTGTGGTGACAGCTTACACTTTTGCACTAAACCCCCTCCTTCATCGGATTTAATTAGACTGAGGAGCCCTCTGATGTGATCATCCTAAATGAGGTTGCTCCAGTAAATCGCCAAAGCAATAAATTCTACCCAGAATAAATTGAATCTTAATTTATAGGTCTTGTTTTATGGACTGAGTCAGAGTCTGCCAGCACCTCAGACACCGTGTCTCCAATGTGTTGCTTCTGTTTAATCACAGCGATCATTCATTGGCTCTTAAAAATGAACTGGCAGATATTTAGATTTATTCACTTGGTAAACACCAGCAGGATTATTTAGTGCAGTTTAAACACACCTTTAACTAATGATCTGAAAGTAATTACAGTAATTTATAGTATTATTTAGTCAATACCTCATTTAAAAATCTACCTCCCTTGGTATTCTTCTCATAAAATAATCAGAAAACCAGCACAACGCTATTAGAAATGCAGGCACCATACATGCGTTCTCCTAAGTACTGGACAAACGTAGTCAATAGGAATCACTGTGAGGGCTTGGTTTTAGTGATAGGCTCTAGTCCAAATTAATGCCATTTCATTAGTTGAGACATGGCATCCCGCAGAGTAGATTAGTAGGAATAGGGGTCACAGAAGAGGGAGGGGTGTATTCAGACAATAGCTGATCCTAAAGCTTGATGCCAGGAAGTCCTGCTTGGTCTGCAGCGGTCCTCTCCCCTGCCTGCTGACCAACCCTAAAAGGTGCTGTAATCTAGTTAAAAAGAGATTGATGGCTCTTTGTACATTGAGGTAGATCTGTCCGATTGTTCATTCAATTGAGTCATGCAGGCCATTAGGCCTATATGTTCAATCAAGATGAGCTCACGCTGATTATTTTCCTTCCTCTCTGTCTTTTCGATTTCTGTCCCTTATCCCCCGGTCTTGAATTCTTTATTTGTTCTTCCTCACCTCTATTCCGGGCTTTTTTCTGCTGAAGATTAAATTGAATTGTGAATCAAACCGGCCGTAGTGGGTATTCTCTTGGTAGATTCAATATGGTTTGAGGGAACCTTGCTCATTAACAACCCCATGGTTCTGCCTCAAGTTGGCACCAGCTTCATGGCAATAAAGTAGTTTTGCAGGCCATCCGAGTGCTCTCAGTAGACATTATGTCAATGGTGTTGTTATAAAAGAGATCAAAGAGACCTCTGGGAATTTGTACTTAAGAAATTTTATAGGTGTACTCAAGAAAGATGATAGCCCATAACACAAATGATCATAAACAAAATATAGCACTCACTCAGTCTTCAGCCTATTTTTGGTACCTTTACTGCATGAAGACAAAAGGCACCACAAGAGACATTTATATCTGTGTTGATCTGATATATTTAAATGGCATTGATCCTGAGAGAATAATCTGAAATTAGTATTTTGGTCACTTAGAGCATAAACTGGTTGTTTTGCCATGTTGAATCATTTATCTGCGAATGTTTCTGACAAATATTCATTGATGAATATACAGTCACGATAAGATGTAATCTATGGCTCAATGCAATTAATTTGAGTTAGTCTAATTAGTGCTTTTACTATTTTTAATGTAGCCAGATATTGTTTTTGAGTGCAATGTCTCTCAGTCAATAAACTAATAATTGTTTATTCGTTTGGGACAGCCAGATTTGATAGATTTGTTGTTGAGGACAAAATGTTAATGTTAAATTTTACGAAATAATGTGGCTTCATCCATTTTCTGAAAAGTAATTAAAATGAGGACCATCTTGCGTGTCATTCATAAGCGTATTTGAAATTATCTTCATTTCTAAATTGAATCGGTCACTCATGTGGAAATACTACATATATTTTTATGACTGAAGAATTAAGCAATTCAAAAGTGTGCTGGAAAACACTATTGATGATAGCCACATGACGTTGTCCTCTAATCATAGTCCATTCTAATATTCAACTCAATGAAAAGTTTAGACATTGACCAGACTTGCTATGAACCTAATTTGTGTGCTTGCCATAAATGTTATATTGAATATGACAAGGACATAATAAAATTAAGCCCCGCCCATTGATTTCTAATTTGATATTCTGTTTCATTCGGAAATATGGCACAATATACTGAAATCAAGTCGGCTGAAACTTCCACTACACGCTGACTTTAAAACGGATATGTTATTATTTAGGTAACTTCCTATAAACATATTGACTAACTAATTTGATCAGCAATAACTGTTGCTTCACCTTGACAGCAGTTGAGTTGGATTGCAGTTTAAAATAAAAGAGCACCTCTTCATCAAAGTCATTGTTTTTCTCTGAAACAGGTGCATTGAAAGAATGCTATCCTTGATTCCTGCTCTAATTGATAAATTGTATATAAGTTAGGAAATCAAGACTTTGGTACATTCGTATACAGTATATGTGTGTGGGTAACTTGTCATTCCATCTTAATGGATGACCGCCATGAATCCAGGAACATAAACAAGTGCACTCTGACCATTTAGAGGACCATTTTACTCACATTTGACTTGCATAAACACATTTTGGAACACTCTGAAGTGTTGCCTTGTGCAAGGCAACCGAACTAAGGAGAAAATGCTAAATTGTAACGATTTAAGTCCCTGTTTCAGAACAAAGCAAATGATCTACAGGAGTGAAAATGCCTTAAAGGGATAGTTCGCCCAAAAAATGTTGTCAATATTTACTCACCCTCAATCCATGCAAGGCTGAATAGCATAGTGAGAAAAAGATTGAGGCCTTTTAGATGAATCAAACAACAACAGCCTACCTCTTACTCTTGTCTTTCAGATAAGACTTCCACACCACTGCATTACTCCATGTCAGCTCTAATAACATGTTGCAAATCATTTCTTTGTGCTTGCATGGTCTCTTCATGATGTAATGCTCTATTGAAGCCTGTGGAGAGCACTTGGATATAATGCAGCTGAAGCACAGTGCCCAAGTCCTGGGGGGGTTGCATGGGTAGACTGTGTCCTGAGATGGAGGGGGCAGTGGTGATAGATGATGTTGTGACAGCCATTCGTTTCTTGCTGAGTTTTTTCCGCCCCAGGTCAAGGAGTGAAGTGCAGTGGAGTCAGCACAGCCATGGCACTGTGATTTAAGGCCTGTGCTTCAACAGTAAATCGATCTGAGTGGAAGAGACTGAGTGGCCAGCAGCAGAGAAGCGAATCCAGCAAGGTATCCCTCAGCTCCCAAAGAGCACATTGCACTTTCTGACAGTGTAGACGTAGCGCTGCCAAAAGCCTCTGCAAGCCCATGCAATCCTTGAAGTAAATCGCTACAGAGCATGTCTAGAGTCTGTTCTGTGATACAGTAGATAAAATGATCAGCTTTCTTGTGCAACATTTGCCAGAATCACTGTTTCGTCAGCCATTATTTGTTGTACCGGAGCCATTTTAAAGTCTTTTTTTTTTATATATATATATATTATATTTCTGTCAGAACCACTATCATCAAATACAATTGACAATAAGCATACAGTTTGGATTGGCGGTATGGTTCTGTTCTGGGCGAGAACTCCCTGTGCATCCATGCAGCCTAGCATGGATAAGAGCAGGGAGAGCGGCAATAACCCCCCTTAGGGTAAACAGAACAGAACCAACAAGATGTATTGCAGATATCATTGATTCAAGATTTTAAAATACAACATAATTCGAGAATTTATTCTGATTCAAAGGGAATCAGAATGCCAAATGCTGACTGGGCAAGAGGAGGAGCTGGGGATGGAGGAGGGTAATTAGCTCCTGAGAAACGCGATAGCTGCTGATAATACTGAAGGAGCTTATATATGTATACAGTAATAGGCGTCGTATTCCTATAGGTAGACGTGGATCAGCTGAGAGTCAGCTGATGCGAGCTTGACTAACGTGACCTGCCAGAACTGACGCTACGCTTGATATAATATTAACCGCTTTAAAGCAATTTATAATGTATCATTTCTAATTTTTTAT